TTGCACAAAATTCGTAACAATATGAAGAAAAAAATAAACGAAGATATTATTCAAATCGTGGAAGGACACAGAAACAGAAAAATAAATGATTAGTAATTTTAAAATTGTGTGTGAAATCAATAATAAAAGTCTCAAAAACTATTTTTTAAATTTCCTTAGCTGTACATTGCATTAGGATAAATGTATTCTATGCAGATATCCTGTATATATATTTTTTAAAGTAATGAAGCTTACATAAAATAACGATTTATTTTGATGATAATGCTCGATAGTTTTCCTTAAAAAAAATTCCGTTATCATGGGGTATGAGAATATGCATTTCTCCATTTATTATACCCCTCCCTTGTGTTTTCATCTCTCTCATCTTCAAAAAACATATTTTTTTAAAAAAAAATACAAAATAAAGAGACTGATGAATCAAATTTCAATTCTATTTCATTTCAGTATCTTCGAATTATTTTTCGATGAGTTTTCTGGTGCTCATTGGATTACATTTTAAATTAACAAAGAACGAACAAAATATCAGTGGTTAAAATGAAAGAAAAAAAAATATTAAATGGATTTTTTTTACTAAAAAAAATCATTTCAGTGGAGCACAGATTCCTCAGCAAAAAACTTTGAGTTAGTATCCAATCAATTTTTCTATAACCCTTTTTTTATAATATGAACATAAAATAAAATAATGATAGTAAAATATTTCGGCATGCTAAATAACAATCTAAAACCGGAAAACCCCCACGTGTAGAAACTTGACATGAAAATTTCTTTTTCTATTTCTACTATTAATTCACACTCTCCCTATATATATATATATATATATATATATATATATATATATATATATATATATATATATATATATATATATATATATATATATATGTATATATACATATATATATGTATGTATATATATATGTGTATATATGTATATATACATATATATATATATATGTATGTATATATATATGTGTATATATGTATATATACATATATATATGTATGTATATATATATATGTATATATATAAATATATGTATATAATATATATATATGTATATAAATATATATGTATGTATATATATATGTATATAATATATATATCTTATTCATATTTTCAATCGTTAATAAAACATTTTTTATTCATTCACTCAAATTCAAATACATTTTTTTAAACTTTAAATGAGTGGATGGCACTTGATGTTAATACAGTTTTTCTAATATTAATTCATTAATTCTATTTAATTAATGAATAAATAGTAAAAAAATAATAGTGAAATAATAAAAAAAAGGGAAATCACTCATTGTGTCCCTATAGCGCAATGGATAGCGCGTTGACTTCCTAATCCAAAGGTCGTGGGTTCGAATCCCGCTTGGGATGACCTAATATCTAAGAATGCGATTTCTTTTCACTATTTTATTTTATTGGAAGAATTAAATTTAATGAATGAATAAATAGTAATAAAAACAAAAATAATAGTTCAACACCCTATTTAGAAATGAGAATGGAAAATTGCTTTCTATGCTGCCACTTCATAGTGTGATTCTGTCCTATGTATATGCATATTTATATTAATTGTAATTATTTAATAAAAAGCAACTAAAATAAAAATTTTCTTTGTTGAACCAAGTAGGAGTTTGACTTAATTTTTTTTTATAACTACTTGTTCTATGTTAAACAACATACGAAAAAAGTATAGTTAAAATTATTCTCATTTTTAATTATTTCTTTTTCAGTCCTTTGATTTGATTTAATTTCCCTTAAGGTTTCCGACTACGTTCGGAACCATGATTTTAAGAAAGCATATCTAGATATATATTATAAATGCGAAAGTTTGTGAGGATGTTTGGGAGTCTTTCACGCAAAAACAACTGAATAAATTTTAATGAAAATTTACAGTAATATAGCTTATACATCAGAACAAGACATAGGCTATAATTTATAGCATAGGCTATAATTCATAAAGGTATTGTGAGAAGTGTCCAAAATATAACGATATTTGTCAAGTAAGTAGGAAAAAATTCTGCCATTTACAAGCAATTCTGGCGTGCGCTGCAAAAAAGTCCACGTCAGCATATATCTATGTTTCGTTTGTGAAAGAAACCTTTTTATTTTGGCTACGCAAGGCGCTCGCTTCTAATTAATTCCTGTGAACAGCATAATCCCTAATTTTTTTTATTTCAGAATCAAACTAAGTTTTGAAGGGAGAGGTTGTTATAAATCTCTCTTTATATGAATGTTTTTTTAATGATTTTATTATGCACATTTGGTGGTAAGAAATTGGTCTTTTTTTGAAAATAAATACTTTTATTGCTACTGGTACTTACAGTAGATAAAATTTGTCTTTTTCACACTACATCGTTTGAACATATTTGCATAGTTTGTTTGTGGTTAGTAGTTAATTATAACGCTATAATTTTAATTGAGTAGGTGGATATTGCGTTTTTAAGTATAAAAATAATTATAACTACTGTACTGTATTTTTTGGAGTGAGTGAATATTAACGTCGCACTGTTCAGCTACACGAGGGCTTTTGGCAACAGACCATGTAATTTTGAACCATGGTCAAGTGACGTGGACGACAGCTGAGCTGACACCCCCTTCTCCTAACTACCACACCACACCAACTTAGAAGGAATATTCTACCAATACTTAGCAGGAATATTCTTTGAAATCCACTCTTCCAAGATATATGGCAACACGGGTTCTATGATGAGTATTTTAGCGGGGAAGGAGAATAGTTTCATAGCATAAATTGCGTTTTCAGCGGATTGCAAAGATTATTATTTTTGTCGCGAAAAAATAGTTCATGCCAAAATTTAAGTGTCTTATGTTTTTGTATGTTAATGAAGACTATAGAAAACGATTTGACTATTTATTTTAAGTGAACGGTGTATATAATTAATTTTACAGTGGAATATCTTTAATTAATTTATTAGCTCTAACAAATTAAATTTTCCAAAGTGGAGTATTTTGTTTATGTATATAACCCTTAATTTTAAATGTAGTGATCTAAAAAAAATATTGTATGAAAAAAAACTACAGTAAATCATAATGCGGTTGGGTAAAGTATTAACGTACATTGCGCCCCTACACGGCGGGTCTTACAAAGCTCTAATAAAGCTCGAGCTATGAAAGTAGCTAGGCATTTGCCAACTTGACTCTATCGTTAACATTTCGTTATGTTTTTCATTGAATCGCCATTATAATTTAAGAAACGGCGTTGCTTGCGAATATTACAATTTTAACATAAAATAAATACAACAGAAAGTAATATTATACTTTCAGATATAAATTATTTACACTATTTTAAGCGTTCATTACGCAAAACTTTTAACAATGTGTTACTTTTACTGAGCAGAGATCAGCTTTGGGAGGTATTTTCAAAAATCGACCCTCAAGAGTGTTAAGGGGAATTATAAATAAAAAAATCCTTTTTATCAGCTGTTAGATCTACATACTTAAAATTTAACAAAGGTGTTTTTTTTGTTTAGCTGATATATGCAAAAAGCTTTTTTTGTTTAATTTGCAATTCACGTAAAATTAACTCATTAAAAACTTCTTTATCTTTCAATCTGTGTTGTTTAATTTTTCAGTCCACCCGTGCGAAGAACGGGTATAACAGCTAGTAAGTAGATAATTTTCATAATATTTAGAGTCACTTAGATTAGAACACATGTATAAAAATATTTTAAGAACATTTTGACGAAAAAGAAATGATTTAAATACAATATTGTGGCAAAAAATTAACTTAGAATAACCTTTCTTCAAAATGTTCTCCTTTTATAAACAATGCTTCTAAAATAATAAAATTTTGCTTATATAAAGTAAAGACTTCTCCAAAGTCTTAACTATTTTTTTTTTTTTGAAAAATTCACATTATTTTCAGAGTTACAACCCATTAAAATAATTATCGGCGTTTTTTTCTTAAAAATTTTCCCCTCTGTTGTCGTAAAACAGGGATAAACTCACTTCTAAGTTATATATTTCAAAATTTCTAGTTGAGCCTCTATACAAAGGTGTGAGCTATATGCAGGTAAAATATTATTATAATAGAAGCATTTTTCGCAAAAGGAGAACATTTTGAAAATGGGTCATTCTATGTTCATTTTTTGTCAAAATATTTCACTTAAATAATTTTTTACTGTAATAACATTCTTAAAACAATTTTATATATGTATCCTAATCTAAGTGACACTTAAAATCATAAATATTATCCTTTTATACGCTTTTGAAAAATCACGGTTCCGAACGCAGTCGGATACCTTAACGTAGTACTCTGAGCCTATAAGAGGGTTATTGGTGACGGACCCTGTAATTTTAAATTTCGATCATGTGTCGAGGATGAGAACTAAGTTGATATTTCCCTCCTCTAATTTACCCACCCCGTCAACGAGAGGACTTGAAGCCCTTCAGCAAATTCAACCTACATCAGCCCCTCTACGCGGTGAATCTTCACAGTTGCACTAGGACACTTCTTCTTGGACACGTTATCAAATAATGTTGTATAGAAATTAAAAGAGATAAGCAACAGGTGCGATGCTATTCTCACAGCGCTCTATTTAACATTACAGAATCCATTCATAGCTCCCATTTTATTACTTTAGACAGAATTTGAATACGAAAAAATGATAAATCATTATTAAATTTTCTTAACAACTATTAATTTTATGTTTAATGATATAATCAGAAATTAATTAAAACAAATAATGTAAAAAAAATTTTAAGTTAATTCCCCTACTTAGGTCAGCAAAGTAAAGTTTTATTTTAGTTACTTTTTTATTAAGTACAATTAATATATAAATATGTATATACATATGACAGAATCACAATATTAAGTGGCAAAATAGAAAGCGATTTTCCTTGCATTTTTCCATTTCCCTTTCTATATAGGGTGTTGGACTCTTATTTTTGTTTGCTACTATTTATTCATTCATTAAATTGAATTATCTCAATAAAATAGTATATTAAAAAGAAATAACATTCTCAGAAATTAGGCCATCCCAGGTGGGATTCGAATCCACGACCTTTGGATTATGAATCCAACGCGCTATCCATTGCGCTACAGGGGTACAACGAACGATTTTCCTTTTTTATATATGGTGTTGCAATTATAATTCGCATACCCGCTTAGCGAACTGGTATTTGAAAATTTTAACCATTCTAGAAAAGCACTTATTTTTCAATGTAAAACATAAAGTGAAGAATCCACATTCTAATAAAATATATGAGACGAATATCAAATATAGAAAAAAATGAATTGAATCAAACGAAAAATAGTAATATCTCAAAATACTCTACACTAGTGGTGCCCGAACTGCTTTCTTTACCTGCCTCCCTTTCAAAACTACCAGAATTCTACATATGTTCCCTAGATAGACAGTATAGTTTTCTTAATCGTCATCGTCACTCATAAATTAAGAACAATTAAAAAGGGACAATAATTCTTTTCATAAAAAATGCAGTTCTTTTACTAATAACATCTCATTTTACCATTTTACTAGCACATGCTACTTGCTGAAAAATAATCATATCTTTGACAGTTTAATAAAACAAATTGCTAAAATTTCTATTCACCCACAAAAAATTTTCTCGCCACCCCCAGAGAGTCGTTACCCAGGGTTTGCACACCACTGCTCCATACGATAATGTAGTCAGAAGTGTAAAAGTTTTTTACCTGAAAAACTGTGCCGAACTTGAATCCCGTTTTACATCATCCGAAGGCAGTAACATATATTCTTTTTTGAGGAAAAAAATATATAAACAAAATAAAGTTTAAGTATTTAATTGTTGTTCTTATATAGCTTAAATTGAAAACCTATAAAAGCAATCATGCCAACAAACATGACCAAACAACCCTCTCTGTTTGGTTTGGCGCGATGTTTTTGGCGACATGCATTTTTACCAGTAGAGTAACCCCGTCACAAACTTGGAGACAAGGGGCTTGAGGGATGGTGAGGGGGGCAGATTCGAAATGAGGGGGCTAAAAAACAATCATTCCCATTGCAAAGTCCCTTCTATAAAAGAACAAAATAAATAATAATAGTAAAAAAACACACTTGCATAACAAAATACAAATTCGAAATTGATGACGAAGTACATAGGACGACGTCGAATTTTTTAATATTCTTATTCTGTTTTTTTAGCATTTATTTATTTCGAAATGATTTCCCATTTTGCATTCGTGCGTTCGCATATATATACATATACGAGGTAGGAAGGGAGGAGTAAGAAGGGAAAAAAATGCAATTTGTTTTTCAAACCCCCTTCCACTCCGGCTAAATAAATAAATAAAAGCAAGAGAGCTTCGTCAAAATTCAACTTTATGTCGATAAAGTCGAATCTGCGTCGATTTTTTTGTATGTTTCCTACTTTATTTATTTATTTATTATTATTTTTTTTATAAATATTTTTCCGAAACAAAATGTCGCATAGTTGAATTGAAATGAAATAAGCTCCGTTTCAAGGAATTTATCGTTATCCGTTTTTTCTTTCTTTCTTTCTCTTTCCTTCTTTTTCCATACACAAAAAAGAAGAAGAAAAATATGTATAAAGTTGGTTGAAGGAAAAGTAGTCCAATTAGATCCACACTTTGAAAAAAAAAGAGAGAAAAGATGAGCGACATTGCAATGTAAAAAGCAAGGAAGATGGAAAATATTTGTGAACGCAGAGATTATAACCGTAACCTATTAGGTTTATCGGAACAGAAAATATCAAATCCCGTTTTCTTAGAATAAAAGGAAAGAGGGGGCAAAAAATAAAAATTAATGAAGTCTTCTGAGAAGGATGATGTTGTGTGTAGAAGATGTACGTACAGAACATTCGAGGAAATATTTGAAGAGATGTAGCTTATTTATAAAAACAAGGTCGAGAAAGAAAAACATCTTTGAGAAAAGAAAAAAAATAGTAGAATTTCAAATTAAAGTTCATAGAAATGTTATTTTTTTTTATTGGCTTAAAAATAAAATATTGGAGATGTTTAAAATATTTCATGTCGTTTAGAAAACGAAGCAGATATTTCAGATAATGACGTCACTGCGTAAAGATGATGCCTAGATTATTACATGGATTAAATTCGTTCATTCCAAATTTATGTTCTATGATCTTCTCATGTTATACGGATCATTTATCTTATTTCTTAGCTATCGATACATTTCGTACTTAAAGTATGACCGAATATTTAGTATAATAAAGAATCTGCAGTATTAGTGCTGTTTGAAATTTTGGTTTAAACTTAACAGCAATTTAAAAAAAACATAACAACAGGCTCAAATAACATAAGGAACTTAGCTAACAGACACATAAATTTCAGAAAAAGAGGAACTGAGGGAGATAAAAAAAAAGACTCGAAGTGATATGCCCTGTGCCCTTTGCGAAAGTAGTTCCCACCTGTGACCAGGGAAGTCTTGAGACACTTTGAGGCCCTGGGCCCAGAGAAATCTTAAGATTTTCTTAGGCCCAGGGCCCCTATGTAAAAATATATATATAGGCCCTACCTCAGATCTTTAAAAGTAGACAGTATATAGCATGCATTGTCAAGTACTCGTCCAAATGGTAATTTGGAACAAAAAAATGAGCACAACTCACGCATTTCGACTAAACGAGTTGAGTGATTGCTTATGGCAGGGGTGTCTAACCCAAATGACCTTGCGGGACACTTCGAAAAAACACTATAATATCGCGGGCCGCACATAAAAATGTGTACCTTTATATCAGATTTGGAAACAAAAAAACATTTATTGTAGTAAAAACTTAAAACAGAAAGAATTATTATTATTGATTTCATTATTTTTCATGTATACAGACACATAGATAATATAATAATGTTTACATTATATAATAATGCAATTATCAAATAATGTTTGAAATATTACAGTTGTCATTTTCTTGAAAAGTACGGTGTTTCTATTGAATTGATCTTTCGTTACTCATTGTTGAAATTTGATAGTTCTGTCATTCGCAAACGATTAAATATACATTGTCCTTTATCTTAACCATTCTGAATATCTTTTTTAAACTTTAAAAAACGTCTCTGACTGCCTCTTGCTTTTTGGGCACTCCAAACACAAGAGGAGGAGGAAAAACGAAAGTCGCACACACAGAGAATCATGTACCATCCATAATAAAGGATATGCATAATGCAATTCGGAATTTATTATAGTAAAATCCAATGTAACTGTTTGATAAAATACAAATCTATTTTAATCTAAAGGACGCTTCTATTATCAAAAAGGATTTATTTTAAAACAAGAACAGGTAACAGGCAAATACATTGTAGATAGATATATATGTATAAATTTCCCCTCAAATAAATTTCAAAATGAAAAAATTTAAAAAATCTTATATTTAAAATTTTTTTTGAAAAGAATCGGCGGGCCACAACTTACGTAGTCGCGGACCGTGTGTTGGACACCCCTGGTTTATGGTATTAGGCCTAGACATGGACAACGGTCATCACATAATAGTCTTACCACTTTTACCAGTTGACAAGCAGTTTGAAATTTCCTGTTTTTCGGAGAATATGTTCAGGAATAATATTTGACCATTAAAATTATCCAGATCATAATTTTATTAAGATGGAGCAGATAATAAAACGTAGCCCACACCAAGGTCGAGGCTGGGGGCCTGGGCCCAGTTGGCCCATGCTTTAAGACGTCCCTGCCTGTAGGCCTTAAATTAGACAGTAAGTATATAGCTTGCATTATTAAATACTCATACAAACATTAACCCGAAAGAAATGTCCGGGGCTCATAATCTCACGACCTAGGCATAAACTGGCTCGACCGATTACAGTCTTTCGACTAACTGAGTAATGATTGTGTATAGTAGTTGGCCTAAGCCTAGTGCCGTCTTGCCCATTGGCTTATAAATTTTGAAATTCCCAGAGAATATGTATGAGGATAGCATTTGATCACTAAAGTTATTCAGATCCCAATCTTATTGAGGATGAGTTGAGAAAAAGACAAGGATCACGCGGAAGTCAAGGCCCTGGGCCCGAGCCCAGTTGATCTCTACCTTAAGACGTCTCTGATGATATGTTGATCTTTCTTTTAAAAGACTGATGTTGCTTCTAAAATATCTGTTATTTGATGTTTCACGTTGTCCTGGTCCTAAAACCTAGACCAGTTCCATGATACTAAGTAGCTCTAGTATAATTCCACAGATCCATTCTCCCCTTCACTCCCCAGCTGCCTTACAGAGACACCAATACAGTAAATGTCATGAGTAAGAGAAGCAGGACAAGCACTAGATGTAGAAGTCTTTTCCTTGTCGACGAATTCCAAGCTCCTGATGTGATCACTACGCAGCCTGGCCAAGGCAGTCTGTAGGGTTTCTGCATCTACTGACTTTAGCGACGGATTAAAAAAGACGATTTCCAGCATACCAATCGGGTGCGGCAGGGACCCTTCAAAGGGAATTTGCTTTAACCCTGTAAATCAGGGCTTCTCCCATTTTCAATATTTGAGACACAATTTTCAATACCCCCACTCAATGGAAGAAGGGAGGGGGGACCTCACCCATAGTCCTGATTTTTTTTCAATTCATTATAATTGTATGTATATAATACGTAAAATTTAATTATATATTTGTTTTTAATAATTAGTTTTATTATAAGTAATGCTAATTATATTTATACAATAATTAATTTTTTTTTACCGTTTTTTGTTGCCGAAAATTGACAAAATCAAAAGAATATGTTGGGTGGCGTCTAGGAGCATGAGACGAGATTAGTGGATCTACCCCCTCCTGAAAAATGCCTGTGTGCGTTACTGCCCCCCATACATTAACAATATATTGATTTTTTGACTCCCATTTTTAGAATTAGAATTACCATCCTAGTGTAGAGTTGCCAACATCTTAGCTTATCCTCATATTTGAGATTAAAATCATATTTGAATCTATAAAAATACAACATTAGGTATTAGGGTGAATCATAGTTATATGAAGAAAAGTTTATTATTATTAATTGTATGAAGGTTGTTCCAAAAGTACCCGGACTGACCTAGAGATGGCGGTAGTAAAGTACGCAATCTATAAAGCATATGTTGTTGTTCTTGTTGTTACTAATGCC